GCGAGCCAAGCGGTGACCTGCAGGATCCTCTTGGCCTCTGCACACCCCCAGCTGCCCAGTGGCTGCTTGGCTCGCTCGGGGACAAAGCCCCATCCAGGGCAGGGGGGCCAGGCACCCTGGAGCTCACCCTTGTAGTACTGGACCAGCTCCTGCAGCGTATTGAAGTTGCTACGCGGGGAGATGTAGAAGCCGCCACTATCCAGCGTCCGGATCTTGTAATGCTTCACCGTGCCGCCCTGCAGGTCGTCCCCATCCCGCACCGACAGTGAGTAGCAGCCTGTTCAGGGAGGGGCAAGCTGCCAGCTCCCACGCAAAGGGTACGTCCCCGCTGCGCCCAGCCCCCCCGTGGTGCCGACACGCATTTTGCCTGGCAGAGCCACCACTGCAGTACCTGTCCCCACTGTGCTGCCACCACCCCTTCGGCCCCAGGCATGAGGCCAGCTACACCTGCACCCCAAATACCGAAAGCAGCCTCAAAGGGGCATGTCACCGCCCCGTCCCCATCGTGGGGCTCACACATGTGGCACGCTGTGGGCTCTTGTGGGAACACTCACAGCAGGAGCATGGGACCCCCTGTCCCTGCCCCGCATCAAAGCAGAGCCCCAGGGCTGGGGATATGTCTCCTGAGCTCCTCTGCCAGCAAGCAAGGGCAGCCGCTCCCAACGCCCTGCCACAGGCACCGCTCCGGACCTTTCGTCGTCTCGCTGTCCCGTATCATGAAGGACCCGACCACATTCCCAGGGCCAAGGAGCTGCCGCTCCGCATCCTTCCGGCTGATACCCTTGAAAAACCACCTGCAGCAGAAACAAATGAACCGAGGAACACTGCTGGGACTGGGAGAGCTAAGGCTGGCGTGGGTCAGGGCTGGGAGCAGGACATGGGGCAGGAGCAGGGACAGCTGCGGTGGGGGGAGCATGGGACTGTGTGGGGCCAGGATGTGCCACTGAGGGATGGACTCACTCCTCTGTCTCCAGCGAGTCGGCTCGGGCAACGTAGTTGCTGGGGATGAAGCCTTCGCACCCCGTCGCCAGTGACCGCGCTTGCCACCACTCCCCCAACCTGCAACAGAGATGGTGTCGGGTCGGCCCGTGGCACCTGGCACTGGGCACTGCCGGCTCCTCCAGGCACAAATTCCAGAAAAAAACCCCAGCAGAGCCACGCAAGCCTTCAGGAGACGCCAGGACGGGGGGACACTGGCAGCACTTACTCCTCCAGCACCTTCAGCCGCTCCCCTTTCTGGAAGCTCAGATCCCCAGCGTGCATCGCCTCGTAGTCATAGAGTGCCAGCACCACGTCGTCCCCCGAGCCTGCAGCAAGGGAGTTCCCTGGGCACCCCTCCCCGTGCTGGGACAGGGTGCCCAGCCACCCCTGCCATGTGCAGCCAGGACACTGGCCAGGACCCCGGCCAGGACCCCCACAGCACCCAGTGCCTCAATCTTCATCGTACCACATCTGGCCTTCGAAGAAGCCCAGAGCACCCACTTGCAGCCCTCCCTGTACCTACCATCCTCAGGCGGGGACACGGCTGTGCTGGGGACATTATTGCTCTGGAAAGCAGACAAAACCAGAGAGTGACATTGCAGACAGCAGAGACTTGTACGCCATGGGGGTCTCGGCCCCACTGCAGCCCCAGCCCCCAGCAGCAGTGGCAGGGGCAGGAGGGAACCCGAGGGGCAGCACTGGCACTACCTGTCACACCAGCCCACCCAGCACAAGCATCTCTGTCCCCTCCCAACACCTTCATTTTTCTCCCCTTTTTTCCATAACTCCTTGATTCTCACCAGGTTCGCTCTGCAGTTTGCTGCAGCACGGACTGGGGTCCCATCCCATGGCCAAGCCCCCTGCCCCGGGGCACGGGCACTGCTGGCACCCACAGCCGGCCCCGCTCTTGGTGCTGGCAGCTCCAGTGAGGAGACAGGCTGAGACCCCCGCAACGGCTCAGCCCCTTGCGATGGCTCAGCACTGCACCCCCAGCTCGCTCGGCAGCTCTCACTCACCCTCCCGTTGGTGGCAGTGGGGTCCCTCACGTAGTGGCCCTGCTGGAAGCTGGGGCTGGGGTCAGTTTTTGTCACCTTCTCTTGGACACCAGCCTCCTTTGACTTCACGCAACCCATCCTGCAGCCAAGGGAGGGGAAGTGAAGCTGTTGCGACAGAAGCGAAAGCCTTGCTCTAGCCCTGCTCCCTGCAGCTCCCACCCAGCATGGTACGGCATTGGCACATGGCATGGGGTGCCCACTGGCCATGCAGCCATGGGCAGAGGGCTCTGCTCCCCCACAGAGCCGAGGCTGTTGGCAGCCACAGGGTGATTGGGCACCCAGTAAGGTGCACAATGGCGTGCCAGAAAGAAGGAACCTCCTGGTGCAGAGAAAGGAGAAGTTACAGGAGGTGAATTTGGGGCAGGTGACAGCAGCTGCCATGGAGCAGCCTCACAGCCCTTCCCTGAAAAAGTCTTCCCAGCCAGGAATGCAAGAGCTTCCGCATCATGGAG